ATGTTTGTCCTTTGGTCGTTGAATTTGTGTTCTGTCAGCCTGTCAGTCGGTACAAATTAATTGTGTGTGTAAATAAGTGGCTGTTAAAAGGGGAATTATGGGACGACGTCCAATATCCACCTGTTGATCCCTAAGCTTTTCCAATGCTATACCTGTTAATGAGAACTGGGGTATACAAATTATACCTTTATGTAATTCAGGTTTTTACCTAATGCATAGTAATCTGGTATACCTTGCCTTGTATTTAAGTTATAAAGCAGCTTTAAATCTATTTATGATCCCTACTGCCATAACATATTAAACATCTGTTGGTCTTTTCAACTTAACTGGAGTTCAATATGCATACCTGTCATCAAAAATAGATTGTGTGAAAGGAAGAATGTCAAGGTCAAGACATTGAAATTGGCTTGATAACTGTAAATTGGTCAATTAACTGTTTAGTAATTGATTTATATAGAAATGGAGCGTGTTCTTCTCTGCATTTCACAATGGAGACTTACAGTTTGAGCTTAAGATGATCATGACCTGGATAGTTTTTGCTTAAGGTGTTAGAACAATGCTGTAGAAATGTGATTTATTTCATCCACCTATGAAATTTTGTTTATACTTATTTCAGTGCTATAACATTTCATGAAGTGGTTTAAAAAAAGAAATTGATATTAAAGGAAATCAACCATAAAATACTGCTATCAAGATCACCCTTGTGTGGAGAAATGATTTCGGCTTTCAATAAGAAATGTTAAAATATCATTATGGTTTTCAAAAGTAATATACATATGAACAAGATTTGGCATATTGTACTTGACAGGTATGGGTCAAGTTGATAATTTCCATCTGGCAAAACAACAACAAATCTGCCATGTAATTGATAACATCTAGAATTTTATCCAAATTTGACAATATTTAGAAATTTAAAGAACTGTTGCTCCAAGGTATAGCAATTTACCCAACCAGTTACTGTTTAATTAGGGAAAGGGCCTGTACAGGCATTGCGTGCTGCCCAATTTCCTTTAAAAATCTTTAAAATTTAAAAAAATATGTTGAAATGAAAACTGTTGGTTTAGAATATTGAAACTTGATTTGAAAATTTCCTTTAAACACTTATCTTTAAAAAACCAAGTAGGCCTGATCTGATAAAATTTTTATTCCAGCATGTCTAAATCTGTAATTGTAAATCTTCAACTTAGGTATTGAAGCTATATATGCTATAAACATTTTCTACAAAAGGTATGTTATTTTAACTTGTAAGCAATTATCCACATGAATAGCCTGGTTTGTTTTCTTCAGAGTGTGTTCTCTTCAGTAAATTTGTGTGTGACCTTGTAAAGGTTAATCTGTAGTGTTGATGTACCTGGTGTGCCTGAATTAGACGGTCATTACGTGCTGGAAGCTTGGGTATTGATCAACATGCTACTACTCTTCTTCATTAATGAAAGCTCTGTTTAACAGAATACTCCTTTTGTTTCTGTCCCCGAATTTAATCAATATTATCACACTTTTGTCCTTTCATGAAAGCAATGTTTTTTTAGGATATCGCACCAGAGTTATTAAATGCAGACCCAGAAAATTCATGGATTTGTATGCAGATGAGATTTTATTCGTGGAGTACAGAGGGTTGTGGTTTTATCATTCTGTTATGTTAAATGAATCGTGCTAGTTTTTGTTGCCGACCTGATAGAGATAAAAATCATTTAGGTCATAAGACTTGATGTTTACATATTTGTGGTTGCGTAGTAAGGACAAGGTGAATAAACTTATGTTAGAAGAGAGTGGTTATTTTCACCTGTGGTGGAATTTGAATTCATTGCATTAGAAAATCATTTTAACCACAGAGAACAGATCTTCACCACATAGAGGGTCGTATTTTCACCTGTTGATGAATTATTTACCACAGTGAACAGACCTTTCTTCTGAGGGAGGGTTGTTTACACCTGGCTAAGTCAAAATTCACCACATCAGTGTTTAGTCTACAGTGTGTCAAATGGCTTGGCTTATATTTTTATGTACAGAACAAAATAGGTTTAGAAGTTCATAAGTATATTTGTCTCTAACCAATTCAAACGAGCTTAGTAAAGCCTTCTGGGTCTTCTACAATAATCAGTACATGTTGATGTAATGTTTCACAATAATTGGCTTGATTACAGAATGACTCTACAGGTTAAGAGTTAGAATATTATATCATAGGCAGAATTAGGTCAAATGATATCATTTGGAGAGCATACAACACACCTGTAAAACAACATACGAGTTAGAGGTTAAGTGACAGTCGCCCATTTCCTGTTTTAATTCATTGATAAGACAATATCTGGTGTTACCAGTGCACTTAAAAATCTGAACTGTAGATATGCAAACAAACTGAAGCTATCATTATGTCAACACATTGACAAACGGAAAAGATGAGTCCAAGAAAATGTTAACAGCCTCAGAAGGAGCCAGCTAAAATATTTTAAATCTTTTTTGTTATCTAAGTAAATACAGGTAGGGCTTGTGTTGTGTTTTAACTTGAACAGACAGAGAGATGACACTGGAGGTGTGTACATACATGTACAGAGCCACCACATCTGTATCTGGTGTCACATCTCCATTAGTACATTCCCATATAAAGATATGACCATCATACTTCCAATATTTTGGTCATGACTCTCATATTACAACCGTAAAATCCCTTTACCATAAAAGGACGTCTGTTGAATGATGGTACAACTTTCACTTCCCTTCCATGCAGAGCCATTAATTAGCAATTTGTTGTCACAATAATTAGCTACAGTTGTTTCTGAAAGGTCAGATGTACTTTATGATAGCTTTATGATGTGTTTAAAGAAGAATTTTTTGAAAGGTTGCTCCACCCTTCTGACATTTGCAGACGAATAGCTAACATTACAGTTTTGTATAAGAAACAGAACAATGGAACTAGAAGTATTTTATAGTAAGAAGATGAAAAAAGGGAGGATTTAATTTCTCTGAAATTTTTATCTAATTACATGTCTATGCAGATAAGTAGCTACTTACTTACAGAAATGACACCAAAGCTATTGTAGATTCTTACTGGACTGACACGAAAGCTGTCATAAGAATCTTTATTGGTAATATGTAAGGCCATTTCACATGTCGCCTTAGCTTATTTTCTGTGAGTAAATGTCACAAGGCCCATCATGCTGGCTTGATTTTAACGTTAAAGGGCTTCCTTGTGATTCATCATCATTAGTTATCAATATTAGGGATTTATAGCTATATAACATCAGCCAATATGAGTGGTAAGTGTGGTGTGTCACTCCTTGTGTATACTAGGCTTTTCCACAGACTTCATTGTAGGTCAGGTGTAAATGTTGTAGGACCTCTGATGACCTATCTTACAACATTACCTTTTGCAAGGAATTATACTTGTTAAACATAATGAAATGTAGCTACCTGTTGTAAAGGAATGGGATGTGACATACTATACATCTTGTTGTAAAAGATCACATAGCTATGAAGTGTTTCCAAATCATGAAAAATAACTTGATGATCCTTGGAGCAGGTTGTCAGTAGATAGTATGTTATCACTAAAGGATCAGAAATTTATCTTTTCTCCAGATGAGAAGCAACTGTAGATTTTTTTTTTTGACATCAGAAATCATTTATCACTTAATTCTGTCATTGAACAAAACATTTTGGGAAACAATTTTGTCAGTCATATATGGCGCTACCTGTCATATACAGAGTGATATCCCTTTGTTCATTATTATACTATATGCCAATTGTATGCTAAGAACAACAGATTAATAGGGTTTTCTGTGCAGTGGGATTGTGTTGTGTTGTGTTAAATAATGTCTTTGTACAAGACAGGATTTGATTTTTAATCTAATATTAAATAAGTTTAGAAACTTGTTCCTAGACTTAGATATGATTCAGTAACTATGAGCTCAAGATCATATGATGAAAAATCAGATTGAGGTTGATATACATGAAATATATAAACATATGACGTTGGTGAGATAGAGACAAGGTTACAAGTATGGATTATGTGTGGGGGCCAGCTGTTTCAAAATCTGCCTGAGAACATCTTACTTGTCAATAACATTACTGATTGTTTGTCCTAGTTAACAACCCCACTATTAAACCTATTTTACAAGCTTGACAAACAAAAATGTGAGTTTAGTGGCAGCCTGTATAATTGAAATAGATGTGACAGTTTGACATATACTACCCTGTTGTATGCTGTCCAGTGTTAGATGATCGGATAAGACAAAATATAATGCAGGTTGATAAATGTCATCAGGGTTTTTGTTGTCCCCTATATTTTTGTCTGATATAATCATTATGTCTGATTAAAGCCAGGCAGTCTATAATTTGATTCCTCGCTTTGATCAAAGTGTTGCATTAATTTTGTCATATAAGATTAATTGCCCTCTTTCTAATAATACTGATTGGTCTGTGTTTCAATGCTAGTATCTTATTTGTTTTGATTTCAACAGAGTATAAATAAAGTTATTTTTGTTTCATTCTTTTGAGAAGCATAATTGAGGTTATCATTTCAACAAGAGTATAAAGAACATATTTAATAAGCTTAGATAATTTCATAAAACTTTAATTTAGCTGTTGTTGTATTGATGATTTATGAAATTAGAATTTGTCATAAAAGTTAATGTTTTAAAAACCAAATTTTAGACCACACTACCTTAATATCCCAGATTCAAATCTCATCCTCTTTGATTCCAATCAAAAAAGTGTTTTAGATCCAAAAAACTTAATAGTAATAATCCAGTTAAGCATAGATATGGTTTCAATTACTAGTCCAGAAGCTCTTAAAGAGCCTGGATATCAAATATATACCTTACACTGTAGTTCACAAACTCTTCATTAAAAACAAAAACAAAAAATAATGTACTAGGGAGGCCTGAAGGTTCCCGAGAAATGGCTTCCATAGATACACCAAACATTTGTTGAAACAAACGTAGGGTATAAACTGAAGAACACATGCTTATCAAAATCTTATTTGTTTACAATTTTGTGTTTTGCAGAAAAATGAACGGCGACAACAACATGCTACAAAAGAGACAGAGTTTTTGCGACTAAAACGATCTCGTCTAGATATAGATGACTTTTCTCCAATTAAAGTAATAGGACGAGGTGCCTTTGGTGAGGTAAGACTTTGAAGTTACTGGATGAGGTGCCTTTGGTGAGGAAATTAGACTTTAAACAGGTGATGTACAGAAGAGAGTTTTTAAAAGTATATTTCAAGTCTTTTTTGAAAACATCAAGGGCTTGACTTGAATTTATATATATGGGTTATTTTTTGGTTTAAACTGGTACCTGGTTTAAAGATAACCTTGGTTTCTGGATTGTACTGTAGGAAGAATGGGATTGCTATTAGTAACTAAAGTTCTGTTTGATGTCCATGTATTTCACTCTCATTTTAAGACTGAAAATTTGATCATATTTAGGATATGATTTTGAATTTTACATTGTAAAATTAACAAACGTTTGAATCATTTGCTCAATAGTCACACTGCTGTTACAACTTTGTAGTGGTATTACTAAAGATGAGGGGGTTGCTCCATGATAGTATTACATAAATGTATGTCAGAAACAAAATTAATAGTCCGGGGTTCATTTTAGATAATGTACGATACTTGTGTTAAACAAATCACTAGAATAGGATGTGAGTTGTAGGTAAGTTGGCTTGCTTCAGCAATTATCAAATGTTCAAAGATTTCTCTTGTGTCCGGGTTCGTTTTACAAGAGAGAAAATACCTCCCCTGTGACACAAGATGAGATTACATTATATTGACTTTCATGTTGTTTATGCTTCTGTTATTCCTCGTACCGAAGTCTGCAATAACATGCAACAGGCTTATATAGAAAATAATGTTGGTACTTCCTGTGATTCCCGCCAAAACAATAATACTCTTTTTTTATGGAGACATTTCCATCAAACTTCAATTATTCACACCCGATAGAATAAGACCTTGTCGATCTATGGGAAGTATAAGAATCCCACCGGGAATACAACTCTCAGTTAATCTCCATTTATTGAGGAGAAAGTGACACTGACATTCCCTATATTTGTAATATATATATATATATACATATATATCAATTCAGGACAAAGCTATCACAGCCGTTACCTGTGGTCATATATCAAAAGTTTCTCATTGAACAAGAAATAATTTAGATTTATCTGTTTCAAATTTTCCAAATATCAATTCACCAGTGATTGTACTGATTATGAAAGTGAATTGTGGGAAAGGGCTTGGTGAAGGGAAGGTCAAGGACAGACCGACAGAAAAGAAAAAAGTGAATGATAGACAAATATGCAGATTGTAGACAGATGAAAAGATATTTCATACACACGTTTAAGAAGGATGCAGTGTGTAAACTGCTACAAGAAGAAAATTTTAGTTACTTTTTCTAGAATTGTTAGTTTAGTTGATGTGCATTTTTTACAAGTGATCTTACTTAAAGTCCCAGGACTATGAAACCTTTTGAAACTAAATAAATCCTTTTTCTGGTACATCTTTTCTTCTGCTTTCTTCTCAACACAATTCATTTAATCTGTCTTCCCATCCTCCACCATTACACCTCTAAACAAACCTGTGGTGCTATGTATGCTCTGAAATATATACCATTAAATTTTTCTCATTCATTTAAAATTATAAAAAAGAATGACACTGAAGCTATCCCCATTGGAATGCTGACGAGATTGGAGTCCATTTCAACTGATCATTAAATGGAAACCTGCGATTAGAATGCAGCACAGAATTGGTGAATTTGCTTGTATGTTATTCATTTGGAACCGTATGAATCATCAAGGGCACCATTCACATGATTTTAAAAACTTAAAAGAATGTTTAAGAGTTCTTTCCGAAGTCCATTCTTGTGACTAATTCATTTAGAAAATGGATTTCTAAAACCAAATCTTAATCTATCTTGGAAGCTAACATATGCTGTAGTAATCTTGCGTTTTAATTATGCTTTCATGGAGGGAGGGGGAGGGAGCATCATGATATATAGGGTATAGTGTTCTATGTTGTTCAATTTGTCAGAGCAAACTTTATTAAAATGTTCAGACGCCTTACAATTTCTCTAAAGAAAATTACAAATGTAATCACAAAAATGGAGTCTATACTGTTTCAACTTGATTGGTCTGAAACAGATAATAACCATGGTTTAATAACTATGCATGTATTCTGATTGGTCAATGTTAAAAAACTGACTTAATGTTCTGTTAAGGAGATTGTAAATACTGATAGCAGAAGACATTTTTTTATAATTTATAAATATTTTCTTGAGAGGAGTGGATGTTTTGGGGGGTGGGGGGTGGGGAGGTGGGGGTGGGGGTGGGGGGTGTAGGACAGAAAATTATGATCTTTTCAGATTAAAAAAAAAACAAAACAATAAATATTTGAAAAAAATAGAGATGAATAAAAGTAGTTAAGAGAGCTGTCAGGGTCGGGGCGACTTGAGATCAACCCGGAGACTAATCACACAAAATTTGTTTGTGTTGATTTTGATTTTTTCAACTCTTCTGTGAAAGGATATTGATTGTGAAAACACAACAACATTGTTGTTGATAATGAAATGAATTGACGCATAGCAGTTATTAGGCCTAGGTAGCGCAAGTTTATGCCCAGTCACAAGGGTCATGTGAGACATGAAATTACTAGTGATTACACATTAACAGAGGCAGCTGATGGTTTATTCAGGAGCTTTGTTTGTGTTGTGTAACGATCTGGAAACCATGCTCACGGCAAACGGTCATTGACTGATGGAGCAATGATCATAACTTGTCTACAATTTTTCTCTGCTTAAATGAAATTTCTTTCGAATCAGTCATATTTTTCTGTAATTAAGGTACCAAATTAAATCTTGTATTTCTTTCCTCTCTAAGTGTGTAGCTTTTTTTTCATTCTCTGTAATTATTTCTTCCTATTGTTCATATACCTGTTTTTAGCTCTTCGGGCCCCAAGGCCCAAATGAGCTATATGGATACCGCAGCTTCTGTCGTCCATCATCTCTCTGTCATGGGTGTCTGGCATCTGCCGGCTGTCAACTTTTTCTACATAATACTACTTGTCATGAACAACTGAGGGAATTTTGACCAAGTTTGGTTAGAAGCATCCATAGGGGAAGGGGAACATTTTTTGTATAAAATATGTGTCCCGGCTCACAGGGCGTGAGAAATCTCTCTCCATAAAGAATTTGGTTTTTGTTTGTTTATCCTTTCCACTGTTGACAGGATATATACTGCCTGCTCCTGTTTAACTTCTTATGATAAAATTGAACTTTTGAAGATTTGGCAATAAATTTCTAAATATAAAAGGACAAAGTTCAGGTGGAGATGAAGGTGTTATCTCTCAGAACATGCTTACAGTGTTGGTGTATTTACAGACCACTCCAGATAAGGTTGGGAGATGAACACCTCTGACAAACATGTCAACTAAACAAATACAAGTCTTTATCAATACACCGCAGTACAAATGTTTCTGCAATAATTCTATTGATTTCTAATCTCTTACATGCTGTTTGAAATCAAAAGCGATTTGATAGTTTTCAAAGATGAAATAAAAGTTTAATAGTCATATTGTATAAACTAAAATACAAGTTGTGTATAGGGATTTTACAAAAGACAAGTGAGTAGCACTTTTCAAGACACATTTAAAATCAGATACAGTATATGTATCAAACAATGAATTCAGTTGTTTTGTCCTTCAAGGACACATGTATATTATGTTAGGTGCCTTACGTGTGGAAGTCTTGAGCAGTTTGGAAAATGAAAATTGGCTGCAAGAAATGTAGGAGTTAAAAAAAAAGCCCAAACCCTTCTATTGACTTACTTACTTATTGTTTTTAACCAACTATAAATCCATTCCTGTCCATGTCTCAGGCAGTTTAGTAAAAAATGTTAACAAAAGCTATTACATTATCCTGTAATAAGCCCACCCCTCTTTACTTTGTCTCAAAGTATGTGTGTTGACCCCCTGACATTAATGGCTAGGTCTAAGTGACATTAACATGTCCCTGATCTTGACCATTGCTGACCTCTAGCATTTCAGTTTTTTCAAAACATTGTTCTTTCCCACAGAGAGTTAGAAATTATGTACATGACATAAAAGTTATCTGTATTTAAAGGGCAAAGTTTGCCAATATGTATGTCCAGTATCGCTGTATTCTGATAAATCAACACTTCAAAAAGTATTGCAGCCTTGTAAGCAAAAGGTCCTAATGAAACCTAGACTTTAAAAATCCATTTCTCATATTGTATTAGAATTGTTTATGCCAGTTCAAAGAAAAAAGATAGCACATGTCTGTAGAACTTTCAGAGGTAATGTAAATATTTATAGGTGGTGTTGATAATGTTTCGATTAGGCCTTTGTGCAGGAGGTGGGATGTTTATAGTTTAAAGTTAGACTTCTAGTTGGTAGTACAAAACACACATATAATGTAGATATTTTCTCTCTCTCAAAGTAAACTGTAATTCAATGTGATTTTTAATACAGCTGTAAACTTGTTTTATGAAATTGAATTGTTCCTATTCAGAAGACCAAGATTTTCTTAATTGAATACTGTAAAAATTATATTTTAGAGGGGGTTTTATTTTCCACAGATGTTGAGGATGGAATAAAATTTATAAAGAAAAAAGGAAATGTAGATACCTCTGAAATAAATTCAATAATTATATCTGTAATCTAGTTCCTAACTTCAGGGGAAAATGTTGCTTTATGCTGTTGGTAAAATCAGGAAGATTGTGACCATTGAAAAAATACAGCTTTAACAGAAAAGATGAATACAAGATAGTAGGTAATGAAAGTTCATTATTCATGATACATCTAAATATAGGTTGATTTCTACACAAGTCTTCAGATTATACAGGCAGCTGGTTTTCTTTTGGCCATATTGTTACCATGTCTGTCCATAGTATCATAACATCAATATGTACACCTTATATTTTCGAGCTTAACTAAATTTTACAGGCGTCTGTGCCTTCCTAAAATATTGATATCTTCCGAAAATGAGTTCAGTATTCCTTATTATTGCTTCATTCTTGGAAAATGATATACTTATTAGCTTTGAGAAACATCTTGTTTTCAGACCTGGTAGACAGGCTTGCAGTTAATCTACAAAAATTGACAATTTATTTGCTCAGTGAAGGATGGCTGCCTATGTAAACAAATTAAAGATATCAAAAGCTGTGTTTACATATATGACAGCAATAGCTTTCATGATTAAACCATATTCCAAATCATGAAGATGACTTTTAAACGTTTAAGAATCCATCCAGTTTCCAAAAAATATTGATTTAAAACATTGTTTGTTCAGTTAAGGGTGTGTGCTACCAAACCTTCACATTCTCCTTTCCCAAAAGAGTTCTGTATGAGGAAATCTATAAAATGTTTTGAGTGATTTATGAATAAGTTTTAGTTTCTTGAAATACTGAAAATTTTAGTATATTGTTCACTCCTAAAGTAATACAACATTAGCTTTGGTTAGGGTGAGTCATTATCATAAATTTAACCATTGCTGTTAGAGAAACAAGTAATATCAGGTATAACTACACAAAACATCTTAGTAAAACGTTTGGTACATATCATCTCCTACCTATTATAGATGTTGCTACAGTATAGGTGGGCTTAGAATTTCAGTTTTTAGGGTGGTAACATATTTAAGTAAAGCTATAAATAGCTATAAGCCAGAATTTTATGTAAATAGAATTGACTCTATATTGGTTCATGGCTATAGCTTTGCATACTGATTTTTGTATTGATCCATCACCCATAACTTGTATAGCTCAAATTTTTATAGTCACCAAACACTGGGAATATTCAAGCTTGTGTAGCAGATATTTTCCTTATATAATGTTCATTTGATCACCAACAGACCAGTAAAAAATATTCCCAGTTTATTACACTTGAAATCATATCTGAGAAATAAAATGAACTATTGCTGTGAAATGTTTTAGTATAGGATATATGGTGATTTAGGTTATTAAGCTTATATATAGTATCTGACTTGAAACCAACAAAGGTCAAGGTCAAGAATTTTGGTGGCAAATAGAATTAGTTTACATGGATCTTCACTGCTTCCTGTCCTGTGTTTGAAGACTTTTGTGGCTTCGGTTTATAACCTGCAATAATGTTGGTGGCATAGTTACTGTGTTTGTATGTTTGAAGATTTTAAATTGGATTTAATCTCATTGTGTTGCAGCAAACTCAAACTTTGAAAGTAGCAGGCCCATCTATTGACAGATTATTCATAAGATAAGATAAAGTGTATTTTACTTTCCTGTGCTCAACTGATCTTAATGAAAAAATAGTGCTGTCTTGTCCATTTCACGTATTCTGTGATATTCAGTAAAGTGTTGATCAAACCTTTAATGAGGATATAATAGGTCACCTGACACAAAGTCTCAAATGACCTATTGCGATCACCTTTTGTCATGTGTTGTCCGTCTTGCATTGTAAACAACTTGCATTTTCGACTCCTTAATAACCAAAAGGGTCATTGTATTGTGCCAGTAGCATGCTGGGATGAAAAACTATCATGTTTTTTCAAATGAATTACCTCATCCTTTTTTCAAGATCACAGGGGTCAAATATTTGATTAACTAAATGACCTAGGATCATGATATTGGGGCAGTAACATGCTGGGATAAAGGGCTAGCAAGTTTGTTCAAACAAATGACCTTCATTCAAGGTCATAGGTGTCAACTACTTAACAGTCATTTAAACAAATTCTCAATAACCATGAGAGGACTTCAGGTAACCGTTCAGACTCAGGGGCCTCTTGTTGTAGAATTGTAGATAAAATTGATAGTAGGTATATATCCAAATTTTCTTCAGAAATCATCGGCTTCATGTTACCTGTAAGTCATGGCTGAACAACCAGAAGTCTCATTATGGGGAATCAGATTTAGTATGGCTTATAGCCAATTTGAAAACTGGCATTGCCACTTGGATCTGTATAAAAGAGATTCAAAACATGTACATTTTGTATTTTCACTTTAGCAGTATAAAGCACTATATCTTTGCAGTTTGTATAAGACTGGCCAATTGTCTTAACAGTGTTGATCTGTGATGCTGTAGCATTTTCGCTTTGCAAGGCTTTCTTTATAAGGGAAGATGTTAATCTTTGTTTGGGAGAAAAAAGAAGTAAATGATTTTGACAGACTAGATCTTATTCATTAATAAGGCCAAAATCAAAGAAAACTGTTTCTTGATACTTGGGGTATAAAGGGAACATCATTGAAAAAATAAAAAAAACCAACAGGTCAGCACAAAAATGATTGACATATGGAAATTGGAAACAATTATTTTATCTCTTTGCCTTACTGGATGATTGTACACAGCTGGCAGAACAAGGCCTACTTTGGAATGTATCCATGTACACCTAAGTAATTTACTTGTGTTTATTCAGGATGGACAGTATCTTACAAACATCAACATCACAAATTGAAATGGTTTAAAACTTAAGCGGCACTGGCTAGGGTAATAAATGAGGTGTGAGGAAGTAATCCCTCCCACTGGTGAAGCATTATAGTCTCACAGCATCCACAGGTGGCACAGCCCATTTCTGTCATAGGGGATCCATGTCACATGGGAGATTCCATATCTGATTGAAAGGTTATACAGGTTTTGGTAAAAATTAAGATGTTAAATATAGGACAGTCCAGATTTGTTGAAGGGAGTTTGGGTCAAGTGGGCTTGTCCATATTGGTATGGAAGGTGATAGGTCAAAATTAGGATGTTTGGTAGTAATGTCTCCTTCCAAAATCAGGAGATAGCAGGTACAATGTGTAGGATGTAACCAAGAAAGGGTGTTGGGTAGTGGGTATTAATACCTCACTCTTGGTGGGAGAGTCCTTTCTCTTCAGAACATGACACAGATAGTGTCTATTACAGTGATAGTAATACCTCTCCTATAGGATGGTCCACAGTATCGAGAGGTAATATAGGTGTTGGATAACCACTAACCAACAAGGCATTCTTCCTTAGTGGAATATTCCAGCATCAGCACATTGGAGGGTGTATATTTGTGTAGATGATCAGGATGTTTAGTTGAGTTTACATTGTGGTCTGAGGTTCAGGGTTTGAATCTCATGTTGCGTTATTCTTGTATTTGTCATTTCCTGTACCTTACAACAGTCAGTCTTGTTGATACAGGTGTGTGTATCAAGAAAATCAGTTGTGTTACTAAACTTTGTTCTATGTTTTTTTCTCTGCAGGTGCGACTAGTACAGAAAAAGGATACAGGACATGTGTATGCTATGAAAATTCTTCGAAAGCAGGATATGTTAGATAAAGACCAGGTAAGAAATAAATGAATCATTGGTTCACTCTGTACAGGTGTGTACAGGTAGAAAATAACCACAATTCAATCCAAAATATAGTCAACCTGCTGTTTCTCCAGTTTGTGTTTGAAGAGGTGACTTTAAGTGGGGAGAGATATCCTTACGAGATTTGGAATTTCTTCCCTAGGATCTTTATCTTTCCTCCCCAGAATCTTTTCATCCTTTGACTGATACCATCTTTATCTTCTGATGGTTTTGGGTTTCCTGACCAATGCAAAGAAAAGTCTATACAAGTGATACTTGCTTCCCTAACGCTGTTTGACATTCAGATTAAATGAATTGTCTGTAAAGACTGATTAGACTATTGTCTGTGTGATGTGACCAAAAGGAGTTAAATGTTTGAGCTGCTGTGCCTAGTTTTAACACTTGAGTATCTTAATACAATTACAGCTGTTGCGAGGACATAAATTACAAACAAACTAATTAGATATAGAAAGGTCTTTGTTTGTGTAGAAGATGTTATTTAAGGTAAGCTTATGCTAGTAGTCGATACAGAGATGATCTTCAGGAATATTAATATTTAGGCAGTTTGGGGCTGTGATAGCTCAATTAGTAAAAATGATGGCCTATATAACCTTAGTTGCAGATCTAAGGTGCATGGTTCAACACTCATTACCCATGATAGTTTGTGTTTTCCAAGGTAGCTGAGAAACAGAGTAGTCTGTGCTGATGTGGTTGTGTCCTTGGGCAAGACACTTTACCCTAATTGCTCTGGACAGCATGTTGACTGCCCCCCCTCAAAATGACACCATCTGTTCACAGGGCGATAATCCCAGCAAACAAATTTAGGCAGTCCTATGTATTAGGGTCGAAAATTATGCTGTAAACTTGCTTTGAAGGCATACAGTAATGAAATAACTGTATGTTTACAGGTGGCCCATGTACGAGCCGAGAGGGACGTTCTGGTTGAAGCAGATCATCAATGGGTTGTGAAAATGTATTACTCTTTCCAAGATGCACAAAACTTATACCTCATAATGGAGTTTCTGCCTGGAGGTAGGTTGGATGTCTGTGTAAAAAACTGCATCATTGTTTTAGTTTTGGTTAAAAAATGAAACATCTGTTCTTATATCAGTTGAAATTTCAATCTGCCTGATTTAAAATAGCAAGATTTTTTCCATATCACCAAATATTGAAATGTTTTGACATTTACAGGAGATATGATGACACTGCTGATGAAGAAGGACACACTAACAGAGGAACAGACACAGTTCTATGTGTCAGAAACCGTGTTGTCCATCGATTCCATCCACAAACTGGGCTTCATTCACCGGGACATTAAACCAGACAATTTACTATTAGATGCCAAGGTGAGGCCAAGTGTAAATGAGTGTAAATAGCAGTGATAGGTCAGTAAGATGTTGGCCTATGTAACCTTGGGTGGAGATCCAAGGTGTGTGGTTTGACCTCCATTACCCATGGCTGTTTATGTTGAGGTTGTCTTTGGTCGAGACACTCTACCAGAAATACTCTGACATGTAACTGGTTTCTGATGCAGCCACCAGCTACTACAAGGGGTCCTCCCACCTTAAATGACTTGCTCATTCATGGGGCGATGTACCCTGGAAACAAACAATTAGCAACACAAAGTAAATTATAAATACTTTAAACTTCAATTACAATACTGTAACTCAGCCATATGGTAATTGTGTGTAAAATGTAAATTCATGATTTATCAAAAACAAATTTGATATAAAAGATTGTCCTTGCCACTCAAATATCACTCATTATCATTTCCTAGTTGTGTTGATTGAAGTTTTTCAACATGCTGGACGTCTAAACAATACAGTACAATTATCATCTTCCTTTTTGTGTTTCAAGATGACATGATGTGATAATCTGATTCTCTTATTATCATTTCAGGGACATATCAAATTATCCGACTTTGGTCTATGTACAGGCCGCAAAAAATCCCATAGAACAGATTACTACAAAGACCTGTCCCAAGCCAAGGCAGGTGACTTCTGTGATTACAACAAAAGTAAGTAGGACCTGATCAAGAGATGCTGAGAAGGTGGTCACAATAGCACAGATGTTGTGGCTTTAGGTTTAAGTAACAGATGAATATCTGAGATGTGATCTTCAATGATTAGTACCTGGCTCAGTCTGCATTTCTCAGGAAGCCAAGAGATAATAGACTGTCCTGTTCTGCAGTGGTCATGTCCCATGGCAAGACACCACAACCAAGTTACCTTTGATAGCATGATCATTGAGATCCACCAAGTTTGATAGTAACTTATGTAAACCAAACAAACAGCTGTTAAAACAGGGTATTTTAGTCAGAGCTTGATAGTAACTTATGTAAACCCAGCAAACAGCCATTAAAACAGGGCATTTTAGTCAGAGCTTGATAGTAACTTATGTAAACCCAACATACAGCTGTTAAAACAGGGCATTTTAGTCAGAGCTTGATAGTAACTTATGTAAACCCAGCAAACAGCCATTAAAACAGGGCATTTTAGTCAGAGCTTGATAGTAACTTATGTAAACCCAACATACAGCTGTTAAAACAGGGCATTTTAGTCAGAGCTTGATAGTAACTTATGTAAACCCAACATACAGCTGTTAAAACAGGGCATTTTAGTCAGAGCTTGATAGTAACTTATTTAAATTGAACAAACAAATAGCTGTTAAAACAGGGCATTTTAGTCGGAGCTTGATAGTAACTGATGTAAACCCAACATACAGCTGTTAAAACAGGGCATTTTAGTCAGAGCTTGATAGTAACTTATTTAAATTGAACAAACAAATAGCTGTTAAAACAGGGCATTTTAGTCGGAGCTTGATAGTAACTGATGTAAACCCAACATACAGCTGTTAAAACAGGGCATTTTAGTCAGAGCTTGATAGTAACTTATATAAACCCAACATACAGCTGTTAAAACCGGGCATTTTAGTCAGAGCTTGATAGTAACTTATATAAACCCAACATACAGCTGTTAAAACCGGTCATTTTAGTCAGAGCTTAATAGTAACTTATGTAAACCCAACATACAGCTGTTCAAACAGGGCATTTTAGTCGGAGCTTGATAATAACTTATTTAAATTTTGAAAAGTTTTGTTACTTTATGTATTGTTTGAAAAATGTAAAGTGCTTGTTTTTTGTTTCAGGTTCCAACCCTATGGATTCCAAGAGGAGGGCCGAGAGTTGGAAAAGAAATCGACGAGCACTGGTATGTTAGAAACTAAATTTTTATTTGCCGATTTTAAAATCAGGTTAGTTTTTGCTTTTGGCTGTATCAATTTGAAGTCATATTTTGGAGACCTATAGAGACTATGTATCTAGCGTTGTAAGCTAAATACAATTATACAGGGCCAGCTGTTACCAGTTGTTTACTCCACACCAATCATATCTGTATATAACTATAGTTTAAATCTACCTGTGTTAGCTAAGATATGTGAGACTGCTACATGGCATTCAGTAGACCATTGAGAGTGTTTTTGACTCCTAAAAATTAAGTTTTAATTTTTCGGTTTTGAAGAGAAATGTCTGTTCTGTATAGATTTGAAGCCTTCAGATTTATGATTTGTCTTCTCAGTGTACTAGTCAATGGTGAGCTGAATGTCCTTTGTTAGAAGTAGATATATACAAGGAGTATTAACACCACGATGTCAACAATGTAGGTCACTATGACCTATATAATATTCTTGTAAAATTTAGACAACCCTATGTAATAGCATAGTATAATATCCTGAATATGAGACTTAAATATACCTTGTATAGCTCTTCTTACAGTGTAGGGAAAAGAGGTGGAGATGTTCCGTTCAAGAGATCCCAATTTGTGTTAAAATCCTTCCTAGAGCCTCAGATTTTCTTAAATTGTTTGAATATCCTTATTCTACTAGGACATATTTCTGTCATATTTGCCGTTTTATATTGTTTTCTGACTGGCTGAAGAGTTTCCTAATGGCTAATGTCATGACACTATCTTGTTGTATTTGTACATGTGGCATTGCCTATTTACTATATTACATGGGTGGCTGTATATTAAATATATTGAAACCAATGGTGTATTATAGAACATTAATTGAAGTTTAATATCCCAGATAGGACACTTATATAACTCACATTAAAGGGAAAATAGAGATATTCTGTGCAAGAGGTCCATAACTGTATGTTTTAGTTTAGAAATTGTTCTGAAACCATTATATATTACTGATAAAGTAGAATAACATACAGGTATAGGAAAGTGAAAAAGCCTTAGACATATACCAACTCGTACAGTTTATAGATAATTTGGAAAAAAAACCTAAATAATAGAATGTTAGTAACAAGTGTGTTGTATAGCTTTCCATTAATGACATGATTGAATGTCTTCAGGCGTATTCCACGGTTGGCACCCCGGACTACATCGCCCCAGAAGTATTTCTCCAGACAGGTTATACAAGCAGCTGTGATTGGTGGTCGCTAGGAGTCATTATGTATGAGATGATGATAGGTGAGTATTACCTCATCAAACTAACACTCAAATATGCATAATGATGTTAGTTGGATGGAGTTCTTCCCCTTGTTTACACTAGTGCTAAAATACACGACCAGGCCAAGCAACTTCTGTACTTTTGTGGTTCTCTTGTAAAAACACTTGACTTACTCTGGATGGCATGAGACCACCTCTTCCATGATATTTGATGGGATAGTCACCTGCTGCTGCAAGCAAACAACGCTTCAAAATGTTCATGGCATGATAGAAACAGCAAGCAAACAATATATAAAACTACCAAGTTGAACAAATTTTTGTCCGGAGCCAAAAATTAAATGTATTTATAAGTGTTTGTGTTGCAGGGTATCCACCATTTTGTTCCGAGAATCCACAAGAGACGTACAAGAAAGTGATGAATTGGCGAGACACTTTAATCTTCCCGCCTGAGATGCCTATATCAAATGAGGCTAGGGATTTAATTAAAAAGTAAGTATACCTTGTCCTGAAAACATTACTTTATAGGTGTTTATTAAGTTGGTTTAGATTTAATTTACATTTATTTCTATTGCAAAAAGAATTGAAAAAGATTATTTTTCTTCAAACGTAACCTTTTAAAATTTATTTAGTTATTTGTTTGTTTATGAATTTGGGTGCAATATTGAGTTTGTCATCAGTGCTTTTTGTGTCTTTTAGGTTTTGCTGTGATCCTGAACACAGACTAGGTGCTAACGGGATAGAGGAAATTAAGTCAGATATATTCTTCAAAGGAGTAGACTGGGAACATATCAGGTACTGTCCCCGCCATCGCTCTAAACAACTACTTAATCACTTGTAAACCTGCTTTACTTATTTCTCTGGTGTAGACAAGACATACTCCTCATGCCACAATCTGTTAAATCAGACAAGGTGTCATTCACATAAAGATGGTGAAAGCAATGAAAAAAACAATACCTTCGTCAGAAAATATAGGCTTCACATTTAGATATTGTTCAAAATTAAAAAAATATCTCTGGTGTATTTTTTAGAAACATGCTTGTTTCTTTTATCACTTACATATGAAGTAAACATAGATAACTATATTTTGTTATGCTGTGAACTTACAGAGAGCGGCCTGCCGCCATTCCAGTGGAGGTAAAGAGTATAGATGATACCTCAAACTTCGATGATTTTCCTGAAATTGATCTCAAGTGGCGTAAGTATTCTTAGAGAATAAATCAGTAGTTTGTTTTTTTCCCCCAAATGTTTTGCTCTAGAAATGAAGATCTTATTTATAAATGTGGAGGGATGTGTCAGCAGGATGACTGGCCTTCATTCTTAATGTAGGAAGTATGTAGGTGTTCAAACATTGGCCTAATGAATGTATATTTTAGAATTTTTTGTCTCTGATAACCAGATATTTGATGAAATGTCCTTACTGTATTATGATAGGATCTAGTATTACAGTTTATTGTAATATCACACTGACTAGTGTCCTTACTGTATTATAATAGGATATAGTATTACAGTGTATTGTAATATCACACTGACTAGTGTCCTTACTGTATTATAATAGGATTTAGTGTTACAGTTTATTGTAATATCACACTGACTAGAATCTGTATTGAATGGTGTAGCTTATTACATGTAAAATATGTTTAAATAGGAAGTGAGATTAATTTAGAATAAAATGGATATATTACAAAGCATAAAGTTATTATAAAGAATATGTTTATTGTTGAGATTAATTTTTTTTTCATAAAAGGCAAGCCATCTAGATCCAAACATCACTAGCGACATTGGGGTGTTTTTTAAAATTTTTTTTTTAGCAAAAGAATTATTGCTGTCAGTTGTATTTTATTGTGATGATAAACTAACAAGAATTGTGTTTTACAGCAACATACCCAGACCCACAAGGCCAGGAACCCCAGGACAAAGATTCCAAGTACAAGGACTGGGTGTTTATCAATTACACATACAAACGCTTCGAGGGACTCACACAACGGGGGAATCCTTTCCCTAAAAGCTAGTTAGAGTGTCACAACAAATACTGGTGAATTATGACACCCGGTTCACACCTACACACACACATGTCTGGAAGTATCAGAGACAATTTTGTTGTACCGACACCGTCACCACTGCATTGAATTGTAATCAGCTGTCATATGGATAGTTTCAGTGATGTCCAGTTAGAAATGTTCACAGAATATGATGACAGCAAAATGTTGTTTTGAAAAGAAACCCAAAAAATAGAATTGTTATTGAAAAAGGAACACAAAAGACAGTGTTTGTGGTAATTGTATTTGTTAAAGTAGATTAGAACCTGGAGTAGCACTGTCAACAATCGACAACAAATGTACAGACGAATTTGTATGTCTGAAACCAAAACATGAATTTTATCGATCTGTCATTGGCAATAGCAAGTTTTTTGCACATTTTCCTTACCTTGTTTTATCCCTTTCATTCTATCGTCATGGTGACATGTTTTACGGAAAGTCCTAATACTTAGGCTACATTGACCAGGATAGAAATCGTGGGTAATGTCGCAACAATTTCAACTGAACGAAAGGGATGGAATAACATTTCTTTTTCTATCAGTAATTATTACATAGGATTTGTGGTATCAACCAAAAGTCGAATGTTGTAATGTTTACAGTTAAGACATCGACACAACAGTAAATTTCAAAGTCTGTAGTTAGCTACTTGTTACCAGAAATGAAAGGGATTTGAAGTTGTAAATTGTTGAAAAATGAAATGGATGTGAAACTTTTGACAACACGAAATTGTAAAAACAAAAACACATATTGCTTCTGCAAATTAGAAATGCTGTATTGTTCTATACAGGCTAGACTGAAAACATGTAAGAATATTCTACATTGTTGCCCAAATCAATTTTCACAAAAAAATCAGAATTTTCAGCAAGGATCTCACTAAACTCTTAGAGATATACTGTTGTGTGGATGTTAACTTGCCAAAGAGTTTGTTGTAGTGTTTCCCTTTTAAACTCAAGTTTCATTTACCACAAACTGGAAGTGAGGCAAGGATGAGAGTGAATGGTCTCAGGGGAGATAACTCTAATGGAATTCAGGATTTCGGAGAGTTTTAATATATTATACTATTTTGATTGTAAACATCCCCATGTCTTTGATGCATCGTATGCAAACATTATTCATCTCATATGTGATGACTGTGGCAAGATATTGTCACAGACTTGTGTTTCTTTTTGCGGCTGTTTCTTTACCTCAATCAAAATTTGTTTCTTCAGATAATTATTTCTTAGATTTGATATTTCTGAATTTTCACTCCAATTTGTTGTTGTTCTTACTTCATAAATTACAGTAAAATGAGGAGAAAGGTGATTAAAGAAAGTGAATTTTTTAAAAAAATAATCTGAAAAAAAGGAAATAAATAAATGAAATGTTTTGAGAGTACGTGTTTAAATTGCTAAATTTATCATAAGAATGATTAATTTATTAAGAAATTTTTTTGTTGAGGTAGAGAATGCTGGAGAAGGATGTCATTTCCTGATAATGCTCTTATACAAGAGACTTATATGTTATTGTGAATATGCACATTCCATTTAATCCTGAGAATGTTTTTATTGTTATGAGGATAAGGTACACGATAGTAGGTAAACCACGTTTATTTTTTGCCTTATTTAAAAATAAAACACTGCTGCGTTGGTTTCAAGACCCTTGTGTAGAATCCTGTTGCACGTGCGATGGTCAATGATCCCAATAATACACACGTTGATTTATGGCTGGTGGAGAGAGGAACGCGTTGGTAAATTGTGCTGCTGTTATATTTGATGTGTGTGTGATTTTTTGGCATTTCTTGTGTGACTGTTAAAGTAGATTTATCAAACTTGGGCAAAGTTTTCTGTTTGCTTGTAGATTGTTTTTAGTTATAAGAGATTATAAACGTTTGTATCAATAAATATTACCTTCCAAAGTTGATCAGCAATTGAAATACATATTGTGCTGTGTTTAATATCACAGGAGTGTAATATACCTGCAGTCTGTTAAACATGGGTGTCATCCATTCACATTTAATTTATTTTGCAATTATTGTTAATATGGAACAAAAGGAATAATCTGTTACTGAATGCTGTATTTTCCAAAGAATTTAAAAATTTTAATGTGCCAATTTTCTTTTTCACTGTTCTTTTCTTCAATGCTATTTTATGAATGTCACACTTTGATTCCGCAATCAGTTGTAAAGCTTAATGGTATGAATGTAGTTTGTGAAAAAGTAAATTACAATTTGGTGGGGTTTAATAAACTTGCATAAAGTCATTGGGAAAAGCAACTAATAAGACTATGTTCTGTAACATGTATTTACATGGATGTTAATTTCCAGTGACGAATCATTTGAAAATTTATCAAGATGTGTAAAGAAGAAATTATTGTACTTGACACAAGTCAATTCCCCTAAAATTGATTCTGGAAATGGACGATTATTGAAAAGTTATAAAACAAAATGAAGCAGTATAGATATAGATGTTTGAGAAAGTTTGTTAACAGGGAATTCAAAGTCTGTAGTAAACACCTTTTGTTTTAGAAGGCATGACAATTTCGTAATGTGCAGAACGAGTGATTGCTTCTGCAGAGAAGTTGTATTGCTAATTTTTGGCTAAGGATTCTTTAAGCCTTTTAAAGTACTTCTACAGTTTAGTGTACAAAATCTTATTTAGAAGTGAGTTGTGTCTGTTTTTATATACTTAATTTACATTGGTTTCTATCTTGGCTAAAGGTGTAAAAATTTAAGTGGCTTCCTTGATGAAGGGCAGACTTTAAGGAGATATTTACTTTCACATGGGAAGAACTGATATTCAGTTTTCATAGAAAGACAGAAATTTGATTAAGAATGAGACAAATAAAACGAGTAATCTTGATTAGAATTCAGACCAAAAGCAATCTGGTTTCAGTATACTTATAAACTCTAAAACAATACTGACGTGATTGAAACCTAACTGTGATTAAACTTGAAATGTCAGGGAGACAAGTATGTAAGTTAGGAATTTTAAATGTTTTGGTAGTAAACACTGGTAAAGGAAGCACTTTATTTTCCAAGTTTTTTTGTGCTTGTATGTGTGATAGTTGACAAACTATTATCATTTTCCGTGTGATAGACATTGAGTAATTTAAGGCGTTTTTATTATCATCATTGCACATCTTATTATATTATCGTTATTATTATTAACAAACGTTATTATTTAAAGCATATTAATAAGATGTATTTACAAATGCAGTCGAATGCATCATGTATGACACAAATATTTGTAATGTTTCTCCCCTAGTGTCTGCCTCGAACCACAAATTGTACTGTAATCTTAATCTATGTAAACTTGACTCGTCTTTTCTGCCCAAACTCTATAAACAATTCATTGGATATGAATAAGGCTGTTGCTTCTGGTATTACAATACTAATTATTGGCAGCCTTGCTCAAGCCCCAAATTTTAATGTTGGAGGGTCAGTCAATTCAGGTTGAATCTTTCTCTAAAACTAAAAGTGATACACTGGTGATTCCTGCAAGTGTGGGGTGGATTGTGGATGTTAAGCAACTTTGCTCAGACTTCAGTTTTATGTTGGTTTCCAGTATATTCTATAGGCAGTACTTCCCTTGTGTATGCTTGGAATTCTGGGAAGATTTGTATATGGTGCCAACTTGACAGTGACCATTTTTTTGATCCTGGGTTTTACTGTGTACTTCATTGCTGAAAACTGGTAGAAAGTACAAAACTTTCTTTTCTTCTTTTTTCAGTTAAAGTGTTTTATTGATAAATGGATTTCCTTTAAAAGACTTTAATTAAAACATAGAGAAAAGCATGTTTTAGAGAAGACTGAGACTGGCATCTAACTACAAGATTCGCTATGTTGGAAGTTAGTATGATCTTAGAAGATCACTGGTTAGTTAAATCAATCAGCTTGCTTGTAATAAATTTATATAGGATGTGTAATAGATGGGGATGATAGTTGTTTGATCTCATACAGTTTTTGTTGCACTTTGCATCTCCTCGTAGTCAGTGATTAGTTGTCATGGATACCAATTGTATGCGACCTTCCTCTCATAATCAAAATACTAGCTCGTGGGCACAGACTACTACAAGTCTGTCACACACAATATTGCATATATTCTGCAATAATGCATGCATTTACAAGTCGGTGTGATTCCACTTTTGTTGTTTTTCTTTGTTGGTTTTCTTTTTCTTTTTTTAATTTATTTGTCAGTTATGGAAAAACAATTAAAATGTTTTTAATTCATTCATTCATCCATTTATTCATTTATTCATCTGTTTGTTTTTCAAGTGCTTTTTTGTTTACCATAGTTTTAGTGATGCTTGTCTAAAGATGTATGATTTTCTGTGAATATTGAACTGGAAATGATAATTATATGTGTATTTACAAATTGCAAGAAAAAATTCTCTCCTTTACCTAATTTATGGATTAGAATCACAAATCTGTTTTAAGTGAAACTGGATTATCAATACATTATGACCTTTGAATGCAAAAAAAAAAAAAAAAAAAATGAACTAAAATAAGAAACTAGAAGCAGGAATTGAGGATGATAAAATTTTATTCAATCAAACATTGAAGATTAAAATTAGCTTAATTTCCTTCAAAATCATTTTAAAACTTTTTGAATTTTAATTTTCATGTTTTCCATACTGGCTACTAATTCATGTGATGTAGCAAAGACAAGCTGTAGCGGTTTATATATATATAAGGCATTTGTGTACTTAAATCAGATTGTACACCTGTTTCCTTTTGAATACCAGGTATTCCAAATAAATTGTCATTCCAATATGTCAACTTGTTACAAATCATCATATGGTGACCAAATGAAGGGTCCTCCACTGTTGTATAACCTGTACAAAACTCAACATGTTGTTGAACCATTTTAATCTTAAACTTATAACATTTTGTAAACATGGATATTTTACTTGAAAACAAAATACACTGTATACATATAGCCTTGTAAATTATCAATGTGTATATTTACCTGAAGGTAAATGATATGTTTTAATTTCTGCAAAAATGGGTGAAGCTTGAAAAGTTTTTTCCCCATTTGCAAATTATGTAGTCTGAAGGCTGCTAACATAGCAATTAATATTTGCTTCAGGTCAATAACTGGTTAAATTTTGCATCAATTTTTGCTTCAGCTGTTAAAATCTGTGAATCGTATTTTGAAGAACGCAGTTATTTTCCTTTATAAAAGCTTGTTGTTGATACAAATGATTACCAATATTTCCTGGCTACTGAAGTAGGAAATTATCAATGTTTACAATAAGTCAATATCCCAAGCCAGACATAGTTCAAACTCTGTAACTGTTCATGATACACTTTACCAGGATTTTTTTTAGAAAATGATCAAGTCTGTTCATTTAAGCCTCTGATGAGTATGGTTTTCATATTTTAGTGTTTTTAACACTTGTTTGATCATTTTGTGTTCATTCGTTCGCCTTATTTGCCATCTGTGAGTCGCCCATGCCTGACACCAATACATTACGTGGTTCATTGAGCAGTTTCTTGGCTCTAATTGCTTCACTGATTCAGACCATGTGTCCTTATACTGTGATATGTAGATAATCGTAATCTGTGTCCAAATGGGTGAATGTAACAAAAATAAAAATTAACTGAATTTTATATGTTATGTTTGTTGTGTTTAGATCTCTCTCTCCAAAAACCCCCTCCCCAAACAATAAGGTTCAAGAGTGAATATATCTTTAATGTTGCTGAAATAGCCAAATGGATTTCAAAGATTTGTATTTTTTTTAACTGACTCAACTTCTTGAGTGGTAAGAGTCAAAAATATTCCAAGTGGTAGGACACCGGCAGCAGATCTATTTTTAGTCCTGTCGTATGTCCCCTTGGTAGGCACAGATAATCTCTCACCTGCTTTATATAATTATGCAGTAAACTTCAGCAGACATTCTTTCAACCTTTTGGGGGTGCCCCACACTTACTTGTCTCTTACCGTCTGCTGTAAGATACAGCAGGCATTCTCTTTCCCTAATCTGAAAATTTATTGCATGAGCCTTGGGCACAATTTAGTTTGGAAATCATGTCAAACATTGTGTGTTATATGACAATAAAGTGCTTGTACGATTTCTTCTTCCTACCACCTGGTCATATGAGAACATCTGTAAAATGATATACAGTAGCTAACAAATTACAGGAACAAGATTATTACCCTATTATATATCTAAGTAATACAACCAATGATGTGATTGTTGATTCAAAATCTGGAAAGTTCTGTTATCATCTGGTTGAAACCAGGATCGGATAGAATTTCATATCAATTGCCGCACATCAATATTAAATTTATCACAATTACATTGAAGGCTATGAAATTGTTACCGAGATATTTATGCAGCACATATACGCTATATGCTATACAGATCACGACCTCAAATAAAATTTACATCTAAAGGTAATGTATCAAAAAAGTAATTTCTTATTTAAGATTAGATCTGAAAAAAGTTGGTCTGCCATTGAGAGAAGGAAGAAGTATGTCAAAGGTTAGAGCAATATAAATGAGGCCAGTTCTGCTGAAGTTTGTAGTTTGCTGTAAAGTAGATCAATGTAAGCAGGAAAGTCGAAAGCAGAAATGTGTACTTATATTATAAACACATTAGTTAAATACATCTGATAAGTCAAATGTTTTGTTCGGTCCTGAATTTTTCTCATCTTTATCTTTGTAAATTAAACAGATGATTCAAAAACTGTTGAGATGATTACTGCATTTGTGTTGAATATATTTTATGGTCCTTCCCAATAAAGATATTGTTGACGAAAACATATGTATGAAGGGAAGTAACTCTTATATGCCATTCCAACTTAAACATGTATCATGATGTAAGACAGAATCTATCTCAAAACAGAATGCATATTTTCTAATTGGATGTGTAAATGTCTTGGCAGGTTATCAAAGTACTGTACAAATGACACAGAAGTAAATATAGAACAATATCAGGCAAACATGGAGTCTTACTGTGAAATCAAAATTGGTGAAATTGGGACAAAAAATGAAGAAAGGAGGAAGATTTCACAGAAATCAAAGAAACAGAGCGAGGAGAATAAAACCAGGTGTTCTAGTAAGAGTCTTCACTTTTATCCATGTAAGTCTAGGCCAATAGAAGTCATTAGAAATGTACTGATCACAAATGGGAACCAGGATTAGTAGTAGATAAGGTATATATGCTTAATAAATAATATAATAGGTATGAGGAACAAGACTCGAACACCACATAACACGAAAGAAAGGTGTGATAACTCTGCTCTTGTAAGTTTATATTTTACATGGTATTCAGATAAGCTAGCGAAGTTTTCAATTTGAGAAAAAGATATGTTAAAGTTGATGGAAGCAGGAGAAAGAAGATGGAGAGATATTCAGAGTAGATTATCTTTAAGATGGTGGTTAGTGGATTAGTCAGTGGAGGGGGCAGGGGTGGAGTAGGTTGCCTGTAGGGGAAGGGGTGGAGTACCAAACAAGGTAGGTTGTATGTAGGGGAAGGGATGTAGAAGGTGGGAAGGTGGAGGAGGGACAACAATGTATGCACTGGAAACACTAGCAAAAGTTTAAACCGTAACTTTTGCAAAAATCTCAATTCCACAAATAATTGATTAAAGCAAATTAATTACCTTTTTACTCTTTTTGTAGGTCAGATTGTCCAAATAGCTAATGGACTACACACAGACCTGAGATATTTCAACACAACTTTTCTAAAAATGTAGATTAATCGGGAATGACACAGAACAAATATCAATTAAGAAGATATAATACAAAACATTAACTGGATGATTATTTTTTAATGTTATGGAGATATATTTCAAACAAAACAAAAAACTTGTTAAACTTATAATTATAATTAACATCGCAAGCAGTCTGTATATAGTATTATCATATTGATGTCAACATTCACAATACAGAGACCTTAGCATCAGTGCTGAGATAAAAATGTCAATGACCACGCAGAACAGGTGCCCGATAAAAGAGGGTTAAGTTGATTGTACTGGGGTCACTCACATTGTCCTGACAATACTGGCTGCTTAAAGTAGAAATGTCATTGACCCTATTGCTTGCACATACCTACCTTAGTTTAGAACAATGACCAATTGTGTATTTTTCTGTGTTGATTAATTAAAAAATCAAAATTGAAGATTTCAAAACAAATACATGTAGTTGTATTTCAAATTACAATTTGTTTGCTAATTGATAAGTTGTGAGCCTCATATTTAAGGTTTTGACTTCTGGCGGCGTTATTTTTCATAATCCCCATCAGTATCCAAAGTATCATCTGACCGAAAGTGGGTCTGGAAATGGCCTTTTTAAATTTTAGACATATATAAAAGTCTGATGTAGCGAGATATGGTGAATAAGGTGGATACTCAAACAATTCAAAGCCCTTGTCATTAATGGCAGCCATGGCAATGACAGCTTTGTGAACAGGGACATTGTCCTGTTGGAATAACACACCTTCACTGAGTTTTCCACAGCGCTTCAGTTCCATATTTTGTCTGAACTGCCAAAGAAGTGATGCATAATATGTGCCATTGATTGATTGTCTCTTTTGCAGGCAATTTACTATCAGAATACCATCAGCATTACAGAAAACAGAGGCCGCAACCTTTCCAGCTGATGGAACAGTCTTTGCCTTCTTTGGCAGGGTGAACCAGGGTGCTGCTGTTGTTAAGACTGTTGCTTGGCTTCTAGGTGGGAAATGTTTTATCCAGAGTCACAGAACTCTGCTGAAGTTAGTAGAATCTGCCTCTTAAAGGTTCAAATTAGCATGTGACAAAGTCTGCCTGGTGATGCTTCTGATCAACTGTCAGAAGTCTTGGTACGCAACAGGCTGAGAGCTTTCAACTTTCAAGTTCTCTACATTCTATTTCAAAATGTGAAACAAAATGTAAATGTACAGCGAGTTCCCCTTCCCAATTTTTATAAAAAGACATCAACACCAATTCCTAAGTACCTTTGTGTCATAAGTGTAGGGAGCTAATACATTTGTATTGTTGTTGTTCAGTATTATCAGTGTGTATTGTGATTGGATGTTATCATCGTGTGTAATTGATGAGGTTGGATGTTATCATTGTGTGTAGTTGATGAGGTTGGATGTTATCACTGTGTATGGTTGATGAGGTTGGATGTTATCACTGTGTATGGTTGATGAGGTTTGATGTTATCACTGTGTATGGTTGATGAGGTTGTATGTTATCACTGTGTATGGTTGATGAGGTTGGATGTTATCACTGTGTATGGTTGATGAGGTTGGATGTTATCACTGTGTATGGTTGATGAGGTTGGTTGTTATCACTGTGTATGGTTGATGAGGTTGGGTGTTATCACTGTGTATGGTTGATGAGGTTGGGTGTTATCACTGTGTATGGTTGATGAGGTTGGGTGTTATCACTGTGTATGGCTGATGAGGTTGGATGTTATCACTGTGTATGGTTGATGAGGTTGGGTGTTATCACTGTGTATGGCTGATGAGGTTGGTTGTTATCACTGTGTATGGTTGATGAGGTTGGATGTTATCACTGTGTATGGCTGATGAGGTTGGGTGTTATCACTGTGTATGGTTGATGAGGTTGGGTGTTATCACTGTGTATGGTTGATGAGGTTGGGTGTTATCACTGTGTATGGTTGAGGTTGGGTGTTATCACTGTGTATTGTTGATGAGGTTGGGTGTTATCACTGTGTATGGTTAATGAGGTTTGATGTTATCACTGTGTATGGTTGATGAGGTTGGGTGTTATCACTGTGTATGGTTAATGAGGTTTGATGTTATCACTGTGTATGGTTGATGAGGTTGGATGTTATCACTGTGTATGGCTGATGAGGTTGGATGTTATCACTGTGTATATGGTTGATGAGGTTGGATGTTATCACTGTGTATGGCTGATGAGGTTGGATGTTATCACTGTGTATGGCTGATGAGGTTGGATGTTATCACTGTGTATGGTTGATGAGGTTGGGTGTTATCACTGTGTATGGCTGATGAGGTTGGTTGTTATCACTGTGTATGGCTGATGAGGTTGGTTGTTATCACTGTGTATGGCTGATGAGGTTGGTTGTTATCACTGTGTATGGCTGAATGTGTGTTTTAAGGCATTCGTTTCATATTCATTAATTCACCTCAATGTTCCGTGTATACCCAGGTTATAAATTCCTTATATTAACACACGATCAATATTTATTTTATTATTCCATGTATAAAAGTTAAATTGGCTTATTATTAAGAAAGCTATACATCAAACACGAACTCTATATTAACTCTTTTATGATAAAACTGACACACAAACTCCTGAAGTGTCCTTGACCAATATACAAATTAATTGGGAAATTACGAACATGTCACCAAAGGATGAAAATTGCTTACATTGCATGTTTGGTAGGATTTCTCACATCTGAACGTAGACACAACAGATTAGGCCTTTGATCTGTTAGTCTAAAATCAATAAGTTTTATTATCTCCCACACAGGACGACATCAGCGTAAATTATTCTGATACTGTTGAGATTGCAGATGGGGGAATCCTTGTACGATTCTAGTTTGTTTGATGTTCAGAATATATCTACCATTAATGTATGATGCAATCTACTGGATTTAAGCCAGCCTAGGAAAGAATCACAGCAATACC